TATTTATGAAGATAAATATTGTTCTATGGCCATAGAAGATAAAGTTTGAATTATTTGTAGCTGGAGGTTTGACCTTGAGGATTTAAATGAGTAAGGAATGAAGGTGAAATATCCTATTGTTGGTTGGTATTATGATGATGCTCATTTATCCTGACTAGTCACTACAAGTATAATTCAAATTTTATTGTATCATGAAAATTTAATATATGATCTGTATATATATTTATGTATATATATATATGTGTTTAATATTGATTATAAATAATTCTGTGTATTCTTTTGAATTATTGTATTTATTGGATATTGTTCTTACTCCTCTCTTTTCTTTGTTTTTAAAATTTAATATATTATAACATAGATGGATCTACCGGCCATACCAGGTCCTTTTACAGTTGTTATTACTGCTGTCCTACTTGGAAGAAATTGGAATATGGAGGCTATTTGATGGATCTGTTATAATTTTATTTGCCAACCATATTATTTCAATTGTAATTTTTTTTCCACTATTAATGTAAATATTGTAATAGAAGTGGAAGAAAGAAATAATGTGTAAAATAGCACGTTATTCTCAATAATTTAGAACGATATGTCATGTATTAAATTTACAAAATAATTTTTTTTCTTTATCTTTATCTTCATTAAAATAAATTTATATATTGTTAATAATATAATTACGAAAATATTATATAAGAAAATATGTAATTATTATTATATAAATTGTGCGTTACATTAAGGCGTTACAACCTATATAAAAGAGCTCGGAGATTTGACAAAAAGAAAAAAAAAAGATACATTTCATTGTAAAAATATATTATTTCTTTTTGTAAGAAACCTTGTACTTAATTGATTGTATCACATATTGATAGTAAAATGAAATAATATTGTCATTTATTCAGTTTTAACTTTGTGTTATTGCTTTGAGCCTATAAAGACTTATTTGTGAAAGAATACTTGGTTATTTGAAGCTTGGAGAGACTGTGTTAAAAGAATACTCGGCAATTTGAAATCTGGAGAGATTTTGTGTTGAAAAAAAAATACTTGGGTAGTTAATTGAAGAGACAAGTCAAAGAACATTTAAGTTGAGCTAGAAGTGACTTGTGAAAGAATACTTGTATCTTTATGAAAGATAGTGAAACTTGATTGGATAGATCAAGAATTGGACGTAGTTTCAGTAAATAAATAATAATAATAATAAAAAAATAAGGTATTACAATTTGGTCCTTGTTAACTGAGTAACATGACCCTTAAACTTTTTTCAAGTGTGCATTTTAGGCATTCCATCCGATTTTCCATAAACCATAAAACAGAAACCGTCACATTTGTTATACTTGAGTTTAACCCCATTTCCAATGAGAGTTGCTTAAAAATAAAATATTATTTTGTATGCCACGTATGATTTTTAGTTGCTTAAAATTAAAAAGAGTTGCTAATCATTTGTGTGTACATGTAGGGGACCGGGAGAGAATATGAGATATTGAAGAGAGAAAAATATTTGTGAGCTAAGCAATTTTATTTTATTTTTTTATAAGAACTTACATTGCAGTGAAACTTAAATGGTTTGCTTAGATGTGATGTGGCAATAGAGGATCCAATAAAGTAAAGTAAAATAAAATTTGATACATGATTAAACTGAAAGATAATACAATATTCATAACACATGCATGCGGAATAATATGATCTATTTTTATATAAATTATATTAAAGTTTGTGATAAATTTTTTTTCTAAATGTACCTGCTAGCGAGCTGTTGAATCATAAAATTTCTCTTTATCAATGAGAAGAGTACTCCAAGTGTATCCTCTATCAGACTATTAGCTTCTCTTTAATAATGTGAAGATCTTACATGTATCTACATCGAGACCAACCTCTATTTTTCAAACACTTTTAAAAAAATGAAATAAAAAATAAAATGCTTAAAAATTATATGTGAGAAAGGAGGTAGAAGAGATAGTAGAAAAACACATATGCTTTTTGTGCAGTAGAAAGTCATACTTATAACACAATAAAGATCTTCTTTTCCTAAAATTAGAAAACTTGTAACATATTTTATTTTATTTTTTTAAATAAAAAAAATATAAAATAAAAACAATATCAAATATGTATCTTTAAAGGATTGCATCCTAATTTATAAAGATTCATATTTTATTTTGTTTTTCAAATAAAAACAATATCAAATATGTATCTTTAAAGATTTTCATTTCCTCTTATTTATCCGTATAAACAACATTGATCAAGTCTAATACTTTAATCATATATTCTTTATCAACTACTTTTTCCAATTTGAAATTCAAAAATATTTCAAAAAATTTACATTATGTATACTCTAAGTGCTAGCAAAGAATATAATTATATTTCACTTTAAATTATTTAATTTGATCAAATTAAATACTCTTATTCAATCATTAAATGTTAAAATAATTTCTTTTACAGACATTAGAACACTTGTTTGTGTGTGACCCTGTAAGTTCAATACTAAGCTGGTAATAAATTAATCAAATTAATATATTAATCAAGGTAGGCATTTAACAATACTCCTTAACGTCTAGATAGTATGGAGAAATATTTTACTTTCAAGAAGTTAGAAAAACATAATATTTTTCTTCCATCATTACAACTTTAGTTAACTATAGAGTATGATATTATCGTCAAACTCCATTAAGTTAACCTATCACGACTGAATTAAGAAATTCATTTCTTCTTTCAATCAATTTTCCTGGTCAAGATATTATTTTATTAATAGAGCTCAAACTCATTATTGAGAGTTGATGAGTTCTTTCCTGATTTATCATTAATTCTACAACCATTTGATCATATCCAATATTCATTCAACTAGTACCCTGAGGCATTAGGTGTCCGAAATTAAAATATAATAAATTACTTGTTAATCATTATGATAATCTCAGGTCAAAGAAAAACATTTAGTTTCTTCTTGAGAAATTTCTATTGACGAATTAAGGTAATGTAAACCATTAAAGATTCTCAATTGAGTTAGTTCAAATGATCATACTCACATATACATCATCTATATATGTAATTAATAAATGAGATGTATTAATCTTTATCCTATAAAGACATTCACATATATATTGATCTATATGGATTTATTGATGTTCCATATACAATAATCCTATGATCAAGAACAATTTAGATTAAAATAATAACAAACTTTTGCTTCTTATTATCATAATCTTTATTATGAAAACAAGTCTAATTTTAATCAAGGACTTTATGTATTTAACAAAATGAAATTAATAACACTTTATCAATTTAAATATGATTACATGATGAATTGGATCTTGAGCATATTTAATTATTCTCCAACATAAACAACATGCATTGTGGATGCTCTAAGTGCCCTTGAACCTAAGTTGGAAGGGATACAATACAATTGAACCTTTCCCATTAAGAAAATTGCAACAAAAATTGTTCACATGATTTTATGATCAAAGTGCATATGACCCTTAGTTGGCAGGGGTAAATTGTACCTTTCCCTTTTCTATGCTTTCAATTATGTGTTTAACTTTTTGTAGTTGATCTTGTGGAAGTTTGCCATCCAAAGAATTGCAATATTGGCTTACTATCCTATTCCCCACTTGGAGGTGGAATACTCACAGGAAAATATATAGACATAAATTCTGAAGCTGCAAAAAGAGGAAGGCTGAACCTCTTCCCTGGCTACATGGAAAGATATAAAAATTTGGCTTCACGGGTGCGCTATATATAATTCTAGTTCTTGTATTTGTAGTTTAGACTATATTTTAAAATATGAGTATATTTGTATAAGTTTCTCTGGAAACATTTATTGGGGAGAAAAATAGGAACAAAATTGAAATAAATTTCTTCATAAGTTAAAACTAGCGTATGTATGAGTTAAAAATAAGATTTTAGAGAAGCTAATAAGAGAGAATTTCTACAATTAGCTTATGCATAAGGTAGTTTCAACTTATGGAGTTTACTTGAATTTTCTTTCTTATTTTTTTCATTTAGAAGTGTATATGGAGAAGTTTATCCAAATAGTCCAGTGATGACAATACTTGAGAATCTCCCTTTCTTTTGTGGCTGGATTTCAGGAAGCTACTATTAAGTATCTTGAGTTGGCCAAGAATCATGGTCTAACTCCTGTTCAGCTTGCACTTGGATTTGCGAGAGATCATCCATTCATGACAAGTACAATTATTGGTGCAACCTCTGTGGACCAGCTAAAAGAGGACATTGATGCTTTTACATCAACTGAGAGACCTTTACCGGCAGAAGTCATGACAGATATTGAAACTGTCTTCAAGAGATACAAAGATCCTGCCATTTTTTAATGATTAAAAATAGAGAGTGAATAAAATAATTGAATTTTAATATATACATTAAAACTAGGATTTACAGTAACTGTCTGCATTCCTTACCTGAATTACAGAAATGTTATTAGGATTTACATTTTTGTTAATTAAGTCTCTAGTATTAACTGGTAGTCATTTTTATGGTTTAGATGACATTCTTACCTTTATTTCACCTCACATGTTGAGTGAAGAAAATATTCAATGCAATTGAAAATGAAAGTTGATAAGACTGGACATTAGAACGAGATTTCTATTATAATCAACCAAATTAATGCCCGCCATATTTTCTGAACATATAGATACATGATACTTATCAATGCATTATATTATTCATATAATATTTTTTTAAAATACTTTTTACAGTATTATATTTTTCTCTCCGACTCTTGTCGTCCGACTTTCTTCGTCTTATTCCATACTTCTCTATCATCTCTCTATTGTACAAATTTACCGTATAAATATATTTACTGTGTAATTAAACTAATGAAATATCAAGATTACATTAGGCACAAGTGAACGGCGTGTGTTGTTTATCTAAATTGTTTAGGATTTGAAGCTTAGTTTTGGGTATAAAAAAGACTATATTGAGATATTAATATTCAACTTGTGTACGCATATGGTTATTGATAGAGATTAATTATTGTTTTAAATATTGAATATTTTGTGCATAAACTAAGGTTAAAAAGATACTAATGAAGTTGAGAATTGGATCACTAGGGACTGGAGTGGTTCTCTTGTCGTGCTTATGCATGGGGAGGGCACCCATTGTGGGGTGTTTCGGCCAATAGATTAAATCAACACCAAAATAGTTTTTGTTCAAAAATGAGATCATATTGGAATTATCCGGTTCATCTTTCGGAACCATATTACATTTGGATATGATAATTTAGTGAATTGAAAACAGTATTTTAAAAGTATATAATTATCTTGAATAAATTTACTATTTTTTATTTTTTTATTTTTATTACTTAAAAAGAATAAGAATTTTCTTGCAAAGATGAGCACGTCATCTTCAAGGCATGCTAATACAATGAGTACTTGGTTCCAGCATGTTTTGTTGTTGGTTTGAAAAGTATTTGACACTCCATCTCATTGAGTACACATTTAATTTGGTCTCTGAAAGATAGTGGAAGTGGCCGATAGATTATTGAAAGATTTTTTTAGCATCTGTCCTAGATTTTAACTCTATTATGCATGTTAGTCATTCCTTTATAATCAATTACTAACTTTATTAGTTTCTTGAATAATTAACAGTTAAGTGTGATGTTGACATTTATTCTCTTTCTAAGTAGATTTTTCTCTTTTTTAATTACCTAATATGAACCATAATATAAAGTTTTTATATTTTTCAATTAATAATGAATACTTTGTCATGTTTAAATATTCTAGTCATAGGTGCTCTAGTTAAAATGGAAAGTTGTTGTTGGGTTTCTAGAATGGTTCTTGCTAAATTAGTTTCTATTGATATAGTTTGAATACATAACAACAGTGAAGGGAAGAATTCCTCCGGATAATTATATTCAATAATAAATATCAGTCTTGTTTGTGAGGAATTACACTATAAAATACAAGAAAATGCAATACAGAATTTAGAAAGTAACAAAGAGAGAGAAAAAGAGGTTCACAAAGTATATTCCCCTTTCTATTGATATAGTTTGAATACATAACAATAGTGAAGGGAAGACTTCCTCCGGATAATTATATTCAATGATAAATATCAGTCTTGTTTGTGAGGAATTACACTATAGAATACAAGAAAATGCAATACAGAATTTAGAAAGTAACAGAGAAAGAAAGAGGAAAAATAGAGAGAAAAAGAGGTTCACAAAGTATATTCCCCTTCACCTCTTCCCCACTACACCTATATTATTACTAACTGTCCCTAAACCGCAAAGGAGCCTGAGTGACACGCTTGCTATGCCTAACCGCATTTTTCTGTCCACTATCCTCTACCATAATAGTTTCATAAGAGTTTTTATAGTTAGACTTTTTTATCTCAACAATCCTTAATTTCTTCATTTGTTTTGGCTACAGCTCTAAGGTTGTAAATTCCAAGTTATTGAATTTGGATTTAACAAAATGAGCGATCGTTCTGAAAGATCTTAAGCAAGGATGTGTCAATTGAATATGAATATTTTTACTATATTTAATGAATTACAAAATTCGGGTAAAAGTGGAGAAGAGCTCAGTAATAATTGGACTAAGTGGGAAGAAATTAGTCATTCAAACATCACTTCAATTATTTTTAAATTAAATTAAAAATTAAACCTTTACTTTGCTAAATCTACATGATTTGTAATTGTTGCATGCCAACTAGGAGAGAGAATACGTGTCATCATGGTAATTAATTGCACTTAACCAAAATTAATAAAAAAAATCCTTTGAAAAACTAAAATTGCACTTAACTATATATGAATTAAAAATATATTTTATCTTCTAAGAAAATACTTTTTTAAGAATTTCTTATTTTTTTTATTAAAAGTATTTAATTTATTTTTTTTTCTCAAAAAAAGAGTATTCTATAGTTTCTTCCTAACATAATCTATTCTATACTCAATGCAAGACTCAAATCTCAAACATCTTGATTAAGAGATACAAGTTGTTACCATTTTTGTTAACTAATATTGTTAAATTTTTCTTTAATAAAAAAAGTAATGGATAAAATTGGAATAAAAAAAGAGTAATGAATAGAATAAATCTAAAGAGAAACACTTTTGACAACAAAAAAAAATTACTTATTTATCAATTAACAAGCAATTAATTTTTTTCTTAAAAAAATCAATCATTAGAGTAATCCTATTGACAAAAAATTATTGTTAGTCAATTACTCATTAGATAAATGTTCCAGACAAAAAAAAAAAACTTATTTATCAACAAAGAAAAAAATTAATCACTAAGACAAGGGTAGAGTGAAAAATACATAAAACTGAGGAAAGGAGAGAATAAAATGTTAAGAAGGAAGATGAAACTATTTCCCATTGATCAAAAAAAGAAAAAAAGAAAAGAAGATGAAGGAAGGTACTAGTGTTTAGTTAGTTGGCGGACGTGGAACCGGTTTAAGAAGCGCGCCAATATCTCATTCCCTTTCCTTTAACGTAACTTTCGCATCTCTGTCAAATGCTGAATCCAATTTCGCTCTGAAACTGATTATACACCTTGTTGATGCAACTTTCAGACCCCCTTTTTCAAAATTTCAATCTTTTTGGCAGTGACATGGGAAATCTTCATCTGGGTCATTCTCTGATTCTGAATCTATAGCACACATCATGCCGCCCCACTAGTGCCATGTCTGAGTTTAAGGGTTTTATTTTTAATTTTTTTTAACCTTGTCCAATTTTTTTCATCTTGAGGTTTTTGGAGACTTAGATGAGAGGCCTGAGTAGAAAGCATGATGCTTGAGCTTTGTCCTCTACACTGGTTTCCATACAATTTTATTCAGATGGAATGGCAGATCCTGAGAGTTATGGGAGTCATGAGCGTGATATTGAGCAAGTTAGTTTTACAACCGAATTAATCTGAAATAGTTTGCTTTGTAGCTGTAAAAGATTAGAATTTTGATTTTTTTTTTCTTTCATGCTTGCTTGTTTAAAGTGAGTATTCATTTTCTAAGATGTTATCTTGAAAAGCAAACTCAAAATATTGAGCGATCTTATGTTGTGGTGTAGTAATCATAGTCTTATAGCTAAAATGTTATATGTGCGTTGACAATTATGGCTGTTCGTGATATTCCTCCGAAATCCTAATGAATTGTTTGTCCTAGCAAGAAGTGTGATTGGAGATAAGGCATAACCTTAGAAGCTATAATTTGTTTGATTTCAGGGATAAAAGGAAGGGTATGGAAAATATTTTGTGAAAAACATGCCATGTATGATATATAAAAAGTAGTCATAGTACTCTTGATTACTATTTAGAAGAATACTGAAGTGCCCTGGTTTATATATACAGGCAATGTAATAGGAAACTTGAATCATTTTATTGAACGGGAATTGATGGTATTATAGAAGAGGCAAACTGAGTGATTACTAAAATCATGGATCCATGGGGAAGGAAACTTTCATTGAACATGTTCATGATATTGTTCCTTTCTAAGTGGTTTTTGATTGAGTAACAATCAAATTCACTTTATCTAAATGGGGAAATACTACAGAAAACATTTTTTCTGGAATAGAAATTGTCACTAACTGGTATGATTTTCTAGAGATTATGTTGCTGAGGTACTCCACTTCAATTTAATTTCTGTCTTGTTTCTTTGTGAAGGCATTGATTGCTTTAAAAAAGGGCACTCAGCTAGTAAAGTATTGTCGAAAAGGGAAGCCAAAATTTTGTTCATTCAGGCTCTCATCGGTGAGATTTTATACTGAAAAATTCATTTGAGTCCAAACAAACACATACATGCATATTATGTATATTGAATTTCATATCTCTGTATGAATGATTTCATATTTAGCGGCATTAGCAGGATGAAACAAAACTGATTTGGATTTCTCATGGAAAGGAAAAGTGTCTAAAATTGTCTTCTGTTTCACACATCATCCCTGGACAGAGAACAGTAAGTTAAATGCTTGGTCTTTGGAGGCTAGATTTGTGGTCATATGAGCACTCTGATAAAGATATCCCGGGTTTCTTTTTTTAATTTGCAGGCTGTCTTTAACAGATACTTGCGCCCTGAAAAGGATTATCTGTCATTTTCACTTATTTATAAAAAGGGGGAACGATCACTTGATCTGGTTCGAAAACAGTCATATTGAATTTAAATTTCTCAATTTCATATAAATTTTTAATCTATTTCTTCCCCTTTTCATATTGCTAGATCTGCAAGGACCAAGCAGAGGTAGAGGTATGGTTTTCAAGCCTTAAGGCATTAATTTCCACTGGAGAGCGTATTAGGCATGGAACAAGTGATTTAACCAATGTGAGTTTTAATACAATTTTTTTAAATGATAGTTTAATTTTCAACTTATCTTAGTTTACATGTTAAACAGTTGCTACTTCCTATTTATTCCTTTAATTTCTCGTAGATTAAATTTTTAAGTTTATGTATTGAAAGATTGAATTACCACTTAGCACTATGATCAGCATAATCTTATACTGTAGGAGCAGGTATCCCGCTGTATAAAATCTCAAGGATGTTTAGAATAATATATTCAAAAAATATATTTCAGGAATATGCAAAATCAAAATTCTTATTGACTTAAGATTAAATCTATATATGAAAAACTCATCAAAATATCCCAATACTCAGGATGAGCTTTAGGGAGGTGTATTGGATTAGAATTTTAAAAGACTTTTTTAGTTAAAAAAAATCTTACGAATTTTAAAAGACTTTGCAGGATTTTCATGACTTTTAAGATTTTGCATGATTCTACAAGACTTAAAATCAAGATTTTAATGGATTCTGCAAGACTTTTAAATCAGGATTTTAGTGGATTCTGTAAAATTTTCGTGGATTTTTGACATTTGATAAGATTTCAAAAAAATTTTCATACAATCAAATTTAAAAAAAATCAAAGACAAAAAGAATTAAAAAAAATAAAGGCTAGATAAATAATAATAATAATAATTCTCCATAATATCTTATCCTCTTAAATAGCATTTACCCACATATCCATAACTATACTAGTTCTCCAAGCATTAACGTCTTTTCGCTCTTGCTCCTGGGTTTGAATAATAGGTTCAAAAGTATGATCTTCATTAACCGGTAACGTTGAAGATGAATGTTCATCCACCGCTTCAATTGAAAATTCATTAAAACGATATTTTTTACGTAGAAAGTTATGTAGTGTTGCACATACTAACACAAGTTCTACTTGTGTCTTAAATAAAAATGGAGGTGCTGACTTGAAAATTGTGAACCTTGATTTAAAAATACCAAATATTTTATCGATCACATTCTTTAAAGACGCATGACGAAGATTGAACAATTCTTTCTCACTTTCAGGGTCATTACCCTGACCTGCAAAATCTTGTAGATGATATCTTATACCTCGAAATGAAGCTAAAAATTGGCGTTGATTAGGAAATCCACAATCCACCAAAAAAATATTTACCTAATTACATAAGCAATATATATAATAGTATAATAATAATAATAATTATAATTATTATTATTATTTAAAGAATAAGCATTTAGATATATAGAATATATATATATATATATATATATATATATAATTTTTTTTATATAAACGGAATTATTTAGATATAGAGAATATATATATATATATATTATTTTAGTTATATATTATATGATAATTTTTAACGATATTTATAAATGTAAATTATTTTAACAAATATTTTAACAATATTTTCTCTTTTAAAAAATAAGCTAATGAAGACATAAATCCTAAATCCTAAAAAATTAAATACTGCAATGTCTTATGTTAATTTTCTTTTTTTAAAATATAAAAAAGTCCTAATTTCACAATATAAAAATAAAAAGAAAAATTCATAGTAAAAAAAATAAAATAATTGTTGAGTAGTAAAAGGAGGGGGATAAGAGTAACAAACTTAAGAGAATGAGAGAAATCACAGTTTTTATGCTGAGAGGGTTCTTTCCCCAACTAAGATCCATTTTCATCTCATTCTACTCACAGAAACTCTAACAAATTCATCTTATATATATATATATATATTGTAGAGATTATGATATCAATTTCATCTTTCACCTTTTTCTTTTCTTGACGTGAGTTATAAAAAAAACTACCACTTAAATGTTGAAATTTCAAGCATTTTTTTGTGTTATATAAAGGAATAAATTCAACTACATAGAATAAAATAAAACAAGTCAATTAAAGAGAACGAACAGAAAATAGAAAAATAGACCAAATCAATGACACTATCATTTACATATCGGAGCTTCACAAAATAGGGGAATGAGATGAGAACAGTACTACAATATTATATATGAACAATGAACAATAGTGCAGTATTATTAGCAGAGAAAAAATGGAGAAGACAGGAACATAGGAAAAAAAAGATGAAAAACTCACTTGAAAATTCTTGAAAAGTCACTTCAAACAATCCTTCAAAATCCGATGGGTTTGAATGAAATTGTTTTATAAATTTGGTATTTATAGATAACACTAGAAAGTTCTTCAAAATCTCTCTCATACAATAATCTTTTAAAATCCTTATATTTTTAATACCAATGGATTGTTTTTAAGTTGTAAAAAATCTCAAATGAATACCAATGAATTTTAATGGATTCTTTAAAAAAATCTTGAAAATCCAGATTGAATACTACTGGATTATTTTTAAGTGACATAAAATCCTGATTGAATACCAATAGATTTTTTTCCTCAAATTTTTTTTTTTTAAATCTTACAAAATCCTAAACCAATATACTCTCTAGTGTTCCATCATGCAAGCTTGTTTTAAAAAATTATGACAAGTGGGGGCGACAAATATCAATGTTTTATCTACTTGGTCCTGGAAACCATGAGAAATTCTTGTTAAAGCCTAAGTTCTTATATATATATAAATTTTCATTTCCATTATCTATATATTTTAACGTTTCAATAAAATAATTATTTTGATTCAGGATAGTGGTGACTCTGTTCACTCTAGTCGCTCTGCTCCAAATGATCGTCCTCATGCTGGAACACTAGAGTATGCATCAAGCGTTGCCCGTGGCAGGTTTTCATTTGAATCGGTGTCTCATGAATCTACATCTTCTGGGTCAAGATCAGATGCTAGTATGCCACTAAGGACAAGCGTTGGAGATGGTGCTCGTGTTAGTGTATCAAGTATTAGCCACTCAAGTAGTGTAGGATCAGGATCAGGAATAGATGACATAGAATCGCTAGGTGATGTTTATGTATGGGGAGAAGTTTGGGCAGATGGAATACCATCTGATGGATTGGGGAGTCAGACCCCTCTTAAGACAGATGTGCTGATTCCTAAGTCATTAGAGTCTGATGTTGTTCTTGATGTTCATCAAATTGGGCCTGGTGTACGTCATGTTGCTCTAGTTACAAGGCAAGGGGAGGTTTTTACTTGGGGAGAGGACTCTGGTGGAAGACTTGGTCATGGGTTTGAAAAAGATTTTGGCCGACCTCATCTTGTGGAGTCCCTGGCAGTTACTAATGTGAGTTATGTTGCATGTGGTGAACATCATACATGTGCTGTGTCTGCATCTGGTGACCTATTCACCTGGGGTGATGGTACACATTGTGCAGGACTTCTTGGTCATGGAAGTGATGTTAGCTACTGGACACCAAAGAGGGTTAGTGGCCCTTTAGAGGGACTTCAGGTTGTATCTGTAGCATGTGGCACATGGCATTCAGCATTAGCAACCTCTTATGGGAAATTGTTTACCTTTGGTGATGGAAAATTTGGTGTATTGGGCCATGGAGATCGAGAGAGTGTGCCATATCCAAAGGAGGTACAATTATCGAGTGGACACAAGACTATTAAGGTTGCATGTGGAGTGTGGCACACAGCTGCTATTGTAGAGGTTACTGATCCACCTAGTTCAAATGCTTTGTCCAGGAAGCTCTTCACATGGGGTGATGGTGACAAATATCGCTTGGGTCATGTTAACAAGGAAACTTACCTTAAACCAACTTGTGTAGCTGCACTTGCTGAATATAGTTTTCAGCAGATTGCATGTGGGTACACTATGACTGTTGCACTCACGGCATCTGGTCATGTTTTCACTGTCGGAGGCACAACATATGGTCAATTAGGAAATCCAATGTCTGATGGAAAAGTTCCAATTCTAGTCCGAGACAAGTTATTAGGCGAGTTTGTTGAGGAAATATCATGTGGTGCACATCATGTAGCTGTATTGACTTCAAGAAGTGAACTATATACTTGGGGGAGAGGTGCCAATGGAAGATTAGGACATGGAGACACGGAAGACCAGAAAACTCCAACATTGGTGGAAGCATTGAAAGACAGGCATGTTAAGAATATCTCATGTGGCTCGACCTTTACATCTTGTATATGCCTACATAAATGGGTTTCTGGAGTTGATCAATCTGTTTGCTCTGATTGTCGACAACCATTTGGTTTTACTAGAAAAAGGCATAATTGTTATCATTGTGGAATTGTGTTCTGCCATCCTTGTAGTTCAAAAAAAGCCTTGAGAGCAGCACTGGCTCCAACACCTAGCAAACCACATCGCGTGTGTGATGCTTGTTATACTAAGCTAAAAGGTTCTGATAGTTCTTCCAATTTTAATAGAGAAATTACTCGTCCTTCTAGTTCCATAAGTGGAAGGGAAAGATTTGACAGGGGAGAGATAAAGTCTTCAAGAGTTCTCTTGCCTTCCATCACAGAACCGGTAAAATACCTTGAGATTAGGAGTAATAGGCCTGGAAGTACACATGACTCCTCTTCCATAGTCCGAGCTGCTCAAGTTCCTTCAAGTTTACAATTAAAAGATGTAACATTTCCAAGTTCATTGAGTTCTGCCCAGAATTTATTCAAGCTTGTTATACCGTCAAGTCAACCTCCAACTCCACCAACACCAGCTACTTTGAGACCTATGTCACCATATGCTAAAAGACCACCAAGCCCACCACGTTCTACCTCCCCTGGATTTTCAAGAAGCCTTGTTGATAATTTAAAGAGGAGAAATGATTATTTGAATCAAGAAGTCTCAAAATTGCACAACAAAGTATATCTCATATTTTATACTATTTTCAGATCCAGTAATTATATTCTTTATTCTCAGAGCATAACATCTCTCAATTAATAAGATTTGTGAATATTTCTTTTCTTGCATATAGAATCGAAGTTTGAGGCAAAAGAGCGAATTGCAAGATATGAAGATTCAGGAGCTTCAGAAACATATTGAAAAAGCCATGTCACAAGTTGGAGAGGAATCTTCTAAGCTTAGAGAAGCAAGGGTATTTATCAAGTCCATGACAGATAAGGTATCTTAATTCTATATTTTGACATCATAGTTGAATGAAGGATATGCATTCATTTTGGAAACTAAAACTAGGAGTGACTATTATGCATGAAGAAATGAAGGAATATCATTATGTTATCCAAGTGCTCTCTACAATAAAATTCCTCAATTTTGTAATTGTGTATGGGACTAAATGATGGGCTCCTTCTCTCCATCACAAATATCACTGGATTATTGCGGGATTAAAAAAACTATATTTTAAATATAAAGATGATTTATACCTGAAAATTTGAGTTATTATAAATTTTCATCATTTCTGTGTTGTGATTCATTGTCAAAACAAAATCTCAATCAAAACATACAGCTTGTTCTTTTAAAACTAACTATACTTAATTTCAGCAACATAAAAAAATATTTTTGGTGATTTGAATGTGTCCTAAATTTTATTATCCCCAAATGACAAAAAGGAAAAAAAATGTCAAAGTTTTGGCTTTAATTGTATGATCGTATATAAATTTGGCAAAACCAAGATTAGTTAAATATCTTATGATGGGCAGATGTCGATTACAAACCTTTTAATGTTCCAAAGGCTTTCAGCAAGAATTAGAATAAATTATGCAACAAAATAGATGCCCATCTTCATTGAATCTCAACAATCCCTAAACTGAACAACATGGGAAGCAATCATTGGGTTGATGGTGCCAACAAAGAAGTTCAAATTTAGGATTTTACAGATATATGTTTATTGTTACACTAATTAAAACAACATTTTTTGCATTCTTTATTTGTGATAATTGGTATTCTCAGACTCCTTAAAGGAGCAACAGCTTTCAAGATAGATGAACCATCATTTTTTTTTTGTCTACTTGCTCTCCTTTAATGACTAACTTTGTTAGCTAAAGACATAAGCTTAATTTTTCAATCTGAATTAATTCTGAACACAGATGAACCTTCATTCTTTTTTCATCAATATACTCACCTTGACTGCTAATGTCATAATAAGCTTAATGTTTGAACCTGATGGGAAGGAAAAGGAAGTTGATCAGGAATCTGGTTTGTCATACTAAGGCCCACTTTGGATTGGCTTCTAGCTTATGAGAGCTTTTCAATTTAGACAAGTATTTGATTCCTAACATACAAAAAAAGGCCCTTAAAATTTTATAGGTATTTAGTTAGAGGAGAGAACTTTTGCAAAGTTGAGGTGCATAACATGTTTTTACATTATGCAAAAAGTTTGATTCATTTGATCTCCTTGATTTATTTTACTTTCTTTGCATTAGTGCTTGTTGAGAAGTTTATACAAAAATAGTTAAACTTGCTTCTACATTTGGTTTTATTTAGTTGAGGGAAGTGGCTGAGACGTTGCCACCTGAAATTTCTGATGACGAAACCTTGAGAACAATGCAAGCTCAAGCTGAAGAATTTCTTCTTGAGGAAAAGGATTTTGAATCTTCTTCCTCACCACCAAGGCTTGAGCCTGAGCAACAAAGTGCACCCGATGAAACTGCCTCAAATAGCGACTCTTTGAAACTGCAAGAGCAAAGAATGGAAAGAAATGATGATGCTGCTGGGGCTGCTCCAGGTATAATTGGAGGAAATGTTCTTGAAGAAAGCAACAAATCATCTGTATCTAGTACAGGAGTGCCTCAGCCAACCTCCGGATATGGTTCAAGATTACATGACTCTAGTATACGAGTAAGAGAAGGAGAAAGATCAGTCATTGAACAATTTGAGCATGGTGTTTATGTCACACTCATTGTACTCCCTAGTGGTTCCAAAGTTTTCAAACGAGTTAGATTCAGGTATAAGAGCTACTGGTTAATCTAACAAATTTCCACATTTATTTTCTGTGTCAATGTGTTCATTCCATGCATCTGTGGACCAATTCTTTTAGTAGTTACTAACTTATTCTATTTCATAAAAACCCTGCTTCTCAATGTGGGGGTTGCACATAACTATTATGTGTGATTATTACTGTAAATAACAGCTTCTAATTTTTATTTTTTTTATCAATAGGTGCTACTTGATATATATATATATATATATATATATATATATATATATATATATGTAAGTAGATAGATAGATATAGATTCTTTTCTTTTACAATATTGTCATGAGGGTGACAAATGTTATCATTTTATTATTTGAAAAGCTTTTATGTTAATTTGGTTTTTTTATTTCCCCCCGTACCTTTTAGTTTGATAGCAATTGGTTTGAGCTTTACAACATTATTGATTTGATTGTTGATTTTCATATTTATATTCTTTCTATCTTTAATACTATTTGTACCTGTTTTCTCTTTTCAATTACCTTTTCTTGTGCAGTAAACGAAGATTCAATGAGCAACAAGCAGCAGAATGGTGGAACCAAAACAAAGATAGGGTGCACAATAAATATAGTGCATGTGCTGAAGATGATAGTGAGGCATTACCCTCTTCCTAAACTTATTTCTGTGGTCTACCCAGGCATCCCATAGTCTGATGGAATGATCCAGAGCATAGAAGCAGCATCTATTTATCAAGTGTAAAAAAGTCTATCTTAGGCAAATTAGTGTAAAAAACTTGACAGCATCTACAACAATCTGGATATGACATGCAATAGAGGATAGAACATGTAGTAAGGTTTAGAGGTAGTAAATTTACTTTTCATTAACATGCTTTGGATCTCATTCTTTCCTTGTAACTCTTCCTCTATAAATCCATGTGTTAGTTTTGTATTTTGGGTCTACAGTCATAGAGGTCTTGTTATTCGTATTGTACATTGGGACAGGTGTAATTTGTTTAAATCCTCTAAAAATTCTAGAGAAGCAGTTAATATATGAATGATGATGAATAATGCTACAAATACACTTTATATAATATTAGTAGAGTCAAAACACCCTGTACCTCTATATTTATCTAAAAATGTTTTGGAATTATTAATATTTATTGAATTAACTGGTCTTGTGTCAAGTTTTTAGACATTAAGATCTCGAATTTGAATCTTAAGTTTGTAAAAGTAATTAATTTTTAATATTATTTTTTATTATTTAAAAATTTAAAGATAAAATAATTTAAAAATTGTGTACATGAAAATAGGGACTCACTTTTATATATAGGTATAGATAATAATAATTTCATAGTTCTTGCTTCTGCAGTTAATTTTTTTATTACCTTTGACTAAAAACAATAACGTGATTATGACCTATACAGAAACTAAGTTCATGTTCTGTTAAATTTGATATATATATATGGGGAATGCTAATATACTCCCACCTATTTTTTAGTGGAAATATGTTAGCAATATATATATATATATATGTTACATGCAAATATCCATTTAGGGTATCCATTTATTATTTGTAGTGAATTTTATCTGCAAATACATATAATTTTGTACATCCCCAAATAGGATCTGATTTGAGTAACACATTATTTATATATTCTCATACTAACATACTTATACCCAATTTTATATTCATATTATTATTAATTAGTGGGGTTGAGACACTTTATATTTCTATATTTGTTAAAAATATTTAAAAGTTATTAATATTTATTGAATTAACCAGTGTTTTACTTAATTCTCAAATCTCAAAGTATTGAGTTTGTAAAAATAGTTGATTTTTAATATAATTTTTTATTATTTAAAAATTTAAAGATAAAATAATTTAAAAATTGTGTACATGAAAATAGGGACTCACTTTTATATATAGGTATAGATAATAATAATTTCATAGTTCTTGCTTCTGCAGTTAATTTTTTTATTACCTTTGACTAAAAACAATAACGTGATTATGACCTATACAGAAACTAAGTTCATGTTCTGTTAAATTTGATGTAGCAGGCTGTTGGTTCAACAGTGGAAGCCAGTATCAGTGGCTATATTAAATATCCTGAAGCAGTTGTTTCAGGCTGATGTTACTGTTCCTAAAAGGGTATATTAAATGAAGTTTGAGTTTTCATATTTATTCATCAGAAAGGAAAAGGATATGGACCTCTTTCGATAAACTTTTCTATTTATGTTTATAGAAGAACAAAATAAGAAGAAAAATTAAATCAATTTTTCTATAAACTAGAATTAATTTATGCATTAGTTAAAAATAAGATTTTAAAGAAACTAATAGGAAAGTTTGTACAAATTAGCTTATGCTTAAATTAATTTTAACTATTCAAAAAATTTATTTCATTGTTTCTTTCTTTCTTCTTTTTTTTTTTTTTTTTTCTAGAAGTGAATTTGAAAAAAATTTATCCATCCAAATAAACCCTATGTTATTTGCGCTCCATAAACTAAATACATTTTTTTTTTTGTAAAGATATGAAAAATTATAAAGATGGTCATAATGAGGATTAAATCTAGATCTCAATACTTCTAACTATCCCAACTCCTCTCCCACCCAACTAATAGGTTAACCCTAGTGATTAGATGAAAGACATTTAAATACATTAAACATTTAGACAATTGAATAAATTTTCCATGAATACTTTAAAAAGAAAATAAATTAAACTTATTCTATAAACTAAAACCAACTAATGAACTTAACTTTTATAGAAACTCTCTCATCTAACTCCTTTGAGGATTGAAGTACATAAGTTGACTTCAACTCAATAGAAGAACTTAATTCATTTTACTTTTTTTATTTTATTTTCTTGCAAATGTTTATGAAATAAAAAACAGGAACTTAATGTCATAATGAAAAATATGCATACTCTACTGTTTGTAGTTATCTGTTTCTAAGCAAAGTGGACGGCGTGCTGTGTTTTGTGGTGGGTTACTTATCACTATCCTCTCTAATTGACAGCCAAACATGGCCAAATCACAATGCTTCCAAATCAAATGGGAAATAGTGGTCTAAACTTTCAGTGCAGGTTAGTGCTGGTCTATTTTCATTCGTCTAGTCTATTCAACTGGGTACATTCAAATTCTCAATGTCTTCTGTGGAAAATGAAAGCAGATGTATCCATACAATGATCATTTTATCGCTAGACTGAGATGGGGGAAAAGTAGTACTATTCACCAAAAGGAAAAGGAAAAAAGTTGTACTACTACTTATCCAAACTTATTATTATAAACTGTTCATAGTTCACTACAAAAAATATGCAATTTAGCGACCACCAAAATCGGTCGCAAAATTACAAAAATCGGTCGCTATTTACCTTAGCGACCGAATTTAATCAGTCGCTAAAACTCTGGTCGCTAAGCTATTTAGTGACTGAAAAATTTTCGGTCACTATTTAGCGATCGAAAATTTCGGTCGCTAAATGGTTGAAATGATTTTGGTTGCTGAAGTGTATGAGACCAAATTAGTGATCGAATAAATCGGTCGCTAAATATTTATTTTTTATTTTATTAAATTTTATAGACGTCGCAAATTTGGTGGCTATATATGAACCATTCATATTTGGTTTCTTAAGGATTTTATTTCACAATACTTAAGTTTTTAGCATGTTTTGTCCTTTAATTACACAATTTTTGGAAACTTTGCAGAATGTCACCTATCCCTACATTACTCCAAGTTAAGCACACTTAACTGTGAAGTTCTTATGAAATAAGCTACTGAAAGGTAAATGCATGTTGTTAGTATAAGTAGTACAAATTAATTCATTTAAGTCATCCTCAACTATCCAATCTCATACTTATATTATTTTTGGATCCTTATCATTTTGGTATATCCGGACCGATATAAATATATAATAATTATATTACTAATAATAATAATTATATTATATTTAATTAATCTTTATTTATATATAAACTTACTTTTATAATTAACAATCTACTTATTTCTATTTAAAATTAATTTTATGATACAATTTA